TAATTAGCCTGTAAATATTAAAACATGTTTTTTGTTGTCAGGTTAATATAAGGATTTCGATTTAGTTCAATAAGAAACTGACCAAAGTCATATTTTACGTAAATTTGTTTTTATTTTATTTGTTTGTTTGTAGTTATGCACCAAGCTACACAATGGGCTATATGTGCTCTGCCCACCACGGGTATCGAAACCCGATTTCTAGCATTGTAACTCCGCAGACGTACCGCTGTGCCACTGGGGGTCTCACTATGACTTGTTCTATTCTAGTTACATAAATATACATTTAATTGAAATATACATCTCCATTTTTTAAAGAAGAATTGCCCTGTTAGATAGCAGTGAAATGAGAAGAAACATCCAACGATAGAAAACGGGTTTCGATACTCGTGGTGGGCAGAGCACAGATAGCCCATTGTGTAGCTTAATGCTTAACTTCAAACAAACTGACAAACTAGAACCTAACTCCTTTTACAAAATTATTAATATTTTTTTTTCTTTTAATGAAAATCCCGTTAAACTTTTTGATAAGTTAATGTAATTATTCAACGTTTGAGGTGTAATTTGCACATTATCATAAATCTAATTATAGTGATCGTAGATTATATTTCCAAGTCCCTAACTATTTAATAGTAAATATATCTAAATTATGTATTTTCTCCATCTTGTTCTTTGGCTATTATAAAGTAACTTCTAGAGTATATCTATATATTACAGGTTAATTTCTAAACCCTATTGTATATTTGTAAACATAGACTGTGAAAAATTACATTTAACCTCAACATTTTCTGCAATTCACATTTAATTATATCAATATCAGAAAATAATTTACCATAATCTAATAATGAATAATAGATTTGAATTTAATCTCATTCAGCTGATAAAGTTTTTTTCTTTTTTTCTAGAATTAATATGGCTTATTTTGTCTTTTTTTATTATTAAAATTGTTCGGTTTTCATGTAGGATTAATCCCATACAAGTGAAACTAGTGTGAAATTGTTCGGTTTTCATGTAGGATTAACCCCAAGCAAGTGCAACTTGAGTCAAATTATTCGGTTTTTATGTTGGATTAATTCCAAACAAGTGAAACTGGTGTAAACTTG